GCGGTACCGTATGCTTGAAAAATTCACAGAGTAGTAACTGTTCTTGCAGAACTTCCACCTGCCACAACAACCTGACAGCGTAGCGCCTCAGTTTCCAGGGCGGCTCCAAACCATACACGACATGCATTGCAAGCTTTTTATCTATTGCCTGACGTGTTCCTGGTGCGAGTCGGATGGTCTTCGTGAAAAGTGGCGCGCCTTATCTTTACAGCGGCAAAATTGGAGAGGAAGTGCAGGGCGATGAGACTCATGCCACATCGCCGCGAAACATCCGGAAACGAATCCAAGCCGTCCGTCAGGTGCCATGAGGCATGAGGGATCAGACACACTACAGAGGATGTCCACTGTACGAGGCTGTCCCATGCTGCGTCGCTCGTCGAGTAGCGACAAGGACAAGCAGGTCCCACATACTCTAAGCAATGGCTCCTGTGATTAAGGAAGCCCTAACATGCAAGATGGACCAACCGGCTGTCAGACCCGCGGCATCTAGGGTTGATGCCATATCGGGGTCAGCCCGAGATGCCCACTACTACTACACGTGCACTGCGTGGAAAATCAGAGCCTCTGCAGCATCGCCAGGTGCATCCCAAGCGTGTCCACAGAAGCAATCTTCAAGCCCTTGGGCATCTTAGTGCCCAACCTGCAGCCACACCAGATACTAATTGCTACTGTCTTATGTTGGCAAACGTTCTTATGCAGTAAGTGTTGTTGCCACTCTTACAGTCAAGCGTGAAAGATCATGAGAGCAGTGGCAAGAACAGCAACAGCTAGAAAAAGCCACATGATGAAGCTGACCTTGGTCATGGTAGATCACACGCGCCTTTTTCGGCTGTGGGTTAGTCAATACAATGACCAGACCATGGCAATGTAACGTAAAGAACAGTATCTGGACAGCTACAACAGTCCGCGTTCTGGATGACTCATATTTGCCGAGTTTAACCTAAATTTTCTGGTGGATGCCCTGTCTGACGTTCAAGCTCTATCGTTTAGAGTCGTGTTTTGTCTGAGCATTGAAGGCGATCTACACATCAGTCTGGGGTCAAGTACAAGTACTGAGTCTGAGCGGAAAATAAATAGCATGCCCTTTTCTTTGGATGCTAACATCAATAGCCGGCATGCCAGCTCAAGTGGTTTCACTTCTGTTGTAACACACCCCATAGTTGAGTGTGTATGATACGGCCATCTCTGTTGATGCCGCTGTATAGCAACAAGTTGCTGAGCACTTTCTTTGTCATCAAGCCTAGTTGGACAGACTTGGAGAGGTACGTCATTGGTAACCCTTGGTGACTGGATTCGTCCCGTCTGAACGCAATGCCTCTTGCACACTTTTTGTCCCTTGCAGAATATGTTTTCTTCTGACAGACCGCTCATGGAAAAAACACAGTGGTGGTATCAGTGGTTCTTTCACAGCTACCGATCTGGCAAGGAGGCATTCCTAAGCCGGCATCGTCTTATTTCACATCATCAACCTTACGGTTGCAATGCGGTGGATAATGATGCTCCAGGCTACTACGAATGGGTGGAAGGAACAGGGACGTCCAGGTTTTCCACCAGCAGGGGTACCTTCTTGAAGGTTCCTATAACAAATCACATTGAGCTGCATGACCCTAATCTGACAAAGTCCGCAGAGATGCGGCCTGATAAGGTTTAGGGTTCAACCGTTTAGGGACGCAGCAAGAACAATGTGACTCCTAATCATCATTGTGCCGATGATTGATACAGTCGATGGAGGAAGCTTTGCAAAAACTTAGAAAACTTGTGTTGTACAGAGTACGGCGTAATTATGGGATCCGAAGTTGTGCAAGACTTCCTCATCCACCAGAGGTGAGCACCAAGAGCATGAACAAATGGAAGACCCTGCTTACAGGCTACAGAATTCCTGGCTCCTTTTTAGATGAGGTCTTTCGGATGCACATCGCATCAAAAAAGAGAGTCTTTCTTTTCGGATCTCAAAGCATCCCTGTGCACTCCAGTCTTGGTGCAGCGCCGTGCCTGCGATATTCCAGCGATACTCGGGCCAAGATTTCGGCTTTCTTCTGTTCTGGTGATGCTGCCTGGCAAGAAATCAGCGTGTAAACCTTCCTAGAACGTTTGCCATCAAGACAAGTAAACCTTGAAATTCTAGACAATCAACCCTGAACTCCCGGTCTGCTGCAAGTTCTGCAGTTTGAAGCGTTGCTCAGTTCCAGATGAGAGCTCGTTGCAGCTGGCAACCCAACAGGTGCCAGCACGAGCTAATGTCAACATTCGGGGAGTATGGGAATTACATAGGCTTTGTAGACAGCTCTTGGTGAGTTATATGTCTATATGGGGCTTGTAGGCATTGTATATGCAGGCGTGTTCCTTTGAGCGTTCCTGGCCTTTGTGCGCTTGTCCATGGAAGGCCTAGGTTCCCGGCTGCATCCTAACCCTTTTGGGAGATGGGTCCCAAAAACTTACTGGTTCTTAGTAGGGAATAAGGGAATGTAATCCATATGCAACCCGTATATAGCATATCCATGACAAGGTGCGATTCACTGGCGGTTGCTGCTTTTGGGGTTTCCTGAACGCAGACTCTGTGCAAGATCCTGCATCACTGGTTCTTGCTCTTCGGACTGCCGGAAATTGGCCCTGGCCCTGTATCTACACTGTAATTAATGCTGAAAACATCTTGTGGCCCTGACCTGGAAAAGCTGTATAGGATCAGCGAGAAACCTCTTCGTTCGCAGAATTTGTACCTTTCAAACCTCCATCTGCGGCATAAGAGAGACTTGGAGGCAGGCCGCTGGAGCCAAATGCACATACACAATATGCAGACCGAGGTTGCCTCTTGATGTTCCAAACAGCTTAACACGGTGAAAACTTAATTTGGGGACCGTACCTTACAAGCCCTTACCAAATCTCAATTCAAGCTTGACAGCCTTGAATCCCACTGTGGGCCTGGCGAGCTGGAAAGATGGCCGGGGCCTTCCAGACAGGGTTTATAGCACTAGGGGTTCAAGATTTGTCCCGACAGAAGTCTCAAAAGATGCCGGCTATGGACAGTATAGCATCATGCACGCAAAGCAGAGCTGAAAGAATTGAGCTGTGACTTTTTCATGCATTCATGTTCCCTCTGGTTTGTTGGAGGTGAGACGAATATATCAAATCCATGTAAAAAAGACGAGCAACGACAAAAAGCAACTGGAAGAAATTCAATGATAATGTTATCCATCATCTTTAGCATAATTTAGGTGGACCCCACCCTGTGCAACATGAGGACTGGGTGAGGAGTCCACCTAAGGCATCATATTTGGAACAATAACGAGCTTTCCTGGCCAGGTGCAATCGGGCTGACGCCATGAAAAACCCTACTTCCACTCGTCTGTGAAGCTATTGGGATACATACAGGAATGGAAAAGAAAATGGAAACAACGGGGCCTCACAGCGGCTATACCCAATCATGAAGGGTCGAATTCAAAAAGAAGATGGAAACTGAACGTGCGTATGTATACATGTATACAGAGGGGTTTAGTCCCAATACATCCAAATAATGCAGAATCAAATTGGAAAGACAAGGAAAATTGAAACGGATTCTGCTAAGCCCTGCACTCAGCCAGATGCTCACATCAAGAATGGAACAAGAAGAGAGCTGTTCTTCTCTTGGAGTGCTACAGCTTGGATCCATCAACAACCCTATCGAAATTGCGGGCACCCGCAATACGGGAAATCTGGTGGGCACATTTGACAGCGCCCTAGTAACCTTTGCATCTCAAACAGGATCCAGCCAAGCAATTCTGGCTGCGTATGCCAATCCTGATGATTGACTCGTGCAGACCTAGATTATTTTGCAACAGGGCGCAGTTGGCCCAACTCCCATTCCAGCAGCTTTCCATGTTTTAACGTCTTTGACCCATCAACACACTCCTGTCTTGCTATGACTTCGTGCTGTGAAGTTCTGAATGGCAAACAGCTTCACGCTCGGCTCCAGAGCTGAGGCAGGACCTTCCTGGATCTTGACTTCGGAAAAGTCTGCTGTGGGGAGGAGTAGACAGAATATTTTGTCCATGAGCTGAGAGAGAGGGGTCGGAGCGCCAGCAGTCTGCACCCACATGTGGGACGAATATGCTACCAATGACTCTAGCATCAACAGGCCGATGTACGGTTGGGGCAAGCGCTTGCAACTTGTGTAAGACCGCTGGCTTCTGCTCTTACGAGCCGGTAGGACTGGCTGGGACCCCACGTCGCACGTCAGGAGCACAACAGATCTCCTCGTGCCATAGCCCACCAGCAACCTGAATAAACAGCATGCTGCCAAAAAATTCCAGACAACCAGCAGAATGTTGGTGATCTGGAGGTGCGGCAGAGATGCAGCTTAATGGCAGTAAAACGAGCTCACGCGATGAAATCCGACAATCTCTGTAGAATCATGTGACATCATGTGACTTTGTGCATGAGAGCAAAAGCTCCCGAAACCCAACTGCGCAAGCACTTCTGCATCTCCTGCAGTCGAGGTTGACAGCTATCTAGGAGCACCAGGTACAATCTGGCGAGATGAGATTTGAAGCACCATAGCTCTTGCCAACCAGAACTGCTTTACGGCTCGGCACCGCAGTCAGAAATGCGTCAAGTATTGAAGCTTTCTGCCAACACGTGCACCTCAGAAAGTTACTTTCAGGCATCGGCCAAATTTCGTGTTCTGAGCGTCTACTGTTGATTGCTCTGCACAGCAGAATTTACCCCGCAAGCATTGAGAGAGACAATCTCAAAGCTTTGAAAGATCAAGGTAAGACTTATGCCAATCTGTCAGACTTCCCCCTCGCTGCCTCAGGGATGTGCATGAATGCTGCTCTTTGCATGCCCGTCTCTACGGGTGCATTCATCCGGGAGCACATCTGGCATCTTGCTGCGGTGCGGAAGTCAGAAAATACGGCCAGTCAAGAGTACAGAATTCCCCGTTTGCAAGTCCCATGCGCAGCACTGCCAGGATGCTGAAGCATACCGCTTCCTAGAGCGAAACCGGAAACACATGACTTCGCAGTCTACAGAGACAATGGCTGACCTTTCAGAAAAGCTGCAAGCTTCTCGTCTGGAACTTGTCCTCGGAGGCAAGTTGCTCGAAAGAGCAAGGCAACGATTTCGTAGCCAAGGCCCGCACCCAAATCCGTACTAGAAGAGGCCGCGTCCGAACCACGAGGTCGTGCAACCCCTTCTCTGTCCAGGTGTCCTTCGATCAGGATCTGAACGGATTTGGATTTGAAAGGCTCAACCTGGCTTCGATGCTGAGCCCAGCCTGCCAAAAGGTTTCGCGCGAAACAGCTGCCTCGGACCCAGCGCTGTAACTCATCGTGGGCCCTGTCTGGAGAGGTCTCCCGTGATTGCAGGAGACTATGCATAGTCCTGCAGGATGCTTCGGAGAGGTCAGGGCTTTGCAGTGGCTAGGTCCTTAGGTATAACAAAAAATGGTCAAATCACTAATCGATTCATACTCTCACTCCCTTCCGTTGAACCGCTCCTTTTCAGCCGCATGCGGATCTGCTTACCTGGCCTCTGGGGGTTGGCCTCTAACTTGTCTCGGTGAATGTGGCAGTACGGACAGGCCTCCCTCCGACAGCCAGCAGGGCTGGCAAAGAAAACACAAGGATAGCACGAATCAGCCTCATGCGGCTGGTTGGAATCATTAGAGCTAGCTGCAGTGCTCTGGGCATCGGGACGATGCTGTTGGCCACCCGGGCGAGACCGAGAGAGCATACCTTCCTTTTCGAAGGCTTCGACGGCACTGTCATCACTGCTGCGCAACGCATCCATTCAGCTTGCCTTCTCTACGCCTTGAGAATAGAAATTCTGCTGAATGGCTGCGGAAGAACACATGAACAAAGAATGCATGCTGCATACAGTACTCTCAGACAGCAACAGCTAACTATGGAGAAGGATCATGTCGCAATGACGTGCCAACAAGACACGGGTCTGCTCTTACTAGGCTCCAACCCTCATCCATCAAAGGTTGGCCTTCGTATCCGTGCTCATTTCCAAGCAGTCGGGGGTCCTGCAAGGGAGTTGCGCCAAGGTAAAAAGGGAAAGGAAGGGTTCAAACATCACGCCACAGGCAGGTAGCAGCTGTGGACGGGGTCTGTGCCTCTCAAAAACTGCAGGTTTGCTGAATCTTGGATAATGGAGCAGCTATAGAAATATCGCCCCCAGTCGCAGAAATCTGCAGCAGGTCACAGCAGTGCGCATCTTTTGCCTGACATCACCTCAGCAGTCCTCCACTCTGGGATAACCAAAGCAGCACATGCCAGCACCAGCTTAAGCCGATAAGTCTAACCTGCAAAGCACCAAGCCTGGCAAGTTTGCGAGATGGAAAGGCTCATCCTGCATCCTTTAGTGAACGGTATGCACTTCCCCCTTTCTTGCGACAAGATACAGGCAGAAGCCCTCCCACATTCCCGAACAGCACCACCAGGGGCATCAATTTGGCGGGTGGCACCTTCGGCACTTCTGGCTTTTGAGACCTGTTGGAAAATTAGTCAGGTGTTCATCAACCATGTCTCGCAAGGAAGAACACATGTACGTGTCTACTTGGCAAAGGGTTCTCCAAACTCGGATGCGCTGCGGCAAGCTAGTCCATGGCTGGAGACCCAGGATCAGCGTAGCCCGTGTCTTACAAAAGGACCGATTCAATTCGGTTCAACCGCCCAACACAATGAGAGGACACTTTGCGAATGGCCAGAAGTGCTGCACTAAACACCAGGAGGATTTCAAGGAAAGATCTTGGTGCTCAGTGACACAAAAGGATACAAGCCCAAATAAGCATGAGTTGGCCGAGCAGTGGGGAATGCCATAAATACCAAAGTAGAAGCATTCATCTCAAACTCAGTCCAGCACCAATTTGTTCCAGTCTTGTTGTGGCCTCAACATGAAAATTCAACTTCTTGGATTTCAACTCTAGCGTGCAGCTTGAAACAGGTGAGCCCCATGTCTCTGCCTGCAGCAATGGCGCAGGCTGAGTCCCTAAGCTCATGTTGAAATCCTCGTCTGTCAGATTGGGCCGCCGACGTCGCAGGAAGCTCTGTTGCATCTGCGTTGTGACATGCTCCAGCTCGATCTGAGCGCTGCTAGGCTTTGTAAGTGCGGCTGTCACATCCAATGAGGCTTGACCAGCTTCACTGCCAGAAAGTCTTGTGTCTCAAGGCTTAACACTTGTTTGGAATGATTGCTTTCCAATGCCTCGCCAACAAAGAAGTCCAGGACCGAGAGCTGAAGAAATACCCTTCGCCTGGCCGCTATGGCTTGATGCAAGTGTACAGGACTTGCAGTATAGTTAAGCATGACGCAAGAGTGTCATGAGTGTCAACGCCGTGTTGTGCAGGACAAACTGGACAAATCATACCCAGTAGCCTGAAAAGCTGAATTTAAGTATCCTCCGCGTTGGAAAATCAGGCGTGCATTCGAATAATCACTGGAAAAACAATTCCCTGAGCCTTCATTTTTCCGGGCTCCGCGCGTGAGTTGGTCCTCCATTTCTATGCCAGCGATGGCTAGCCTTCCAGTCTAAAGGATGGCAACGCTCTGCACACAGCCTTTGCATGGCTGCACATAGAATGCATCCTCACAGAAAGCAACAAGATCTTGTTAGGGGCCACCTGCTGGCCTAGTTGTCCTTGGCCTAGTTGTCCTTATTATAAGGACCAAAAAAGGCGTCCCTGATTTTGAGAAACTCCCATGTGTCATCCAGTCCTTGCTGAGGTAAATGCCCCTCTCAAGAGGACCAAGCTCCCACCGCTTGTGTGAACATCAATGCATGGCATGTCCAATTGAAGAAGTGCGATGCTGACTGGAGTAGCCAATGGGTGTTGAGTCCCTGAGATCTGTAGCAGAACTGCAACAATTTTTCAGTGGAGCCTTGGTTTGCCACATGCATGCAGCGTGTGAGAGGTCAACTCTCCAGCTGATGCTCGCTGTTACGAATTGTAAAATTCCATCACTTTTCGGCAGCTCTGAGCTGAGCACAGGGTTTCGAGGTGAAGGCGACATGCAGCCGTGCACCTGAACGCACAAACCCCTACATGCAGACTTCAAAGGATGCATCCAATGATTTTTGAATAAGCTTAAAAAGTTCCAGTTCCGGGCCGCATGTTAAATAGATGCTACACTGCTACTGATGCCGCTTGGCGTGGCCTCCGAACGAAGACATCTGAAAAGGCAGACCAAAAACAGCCTGTCAGGGTTTTTGCTGCAAACATAAAATTCTTGGGACGACCTTGGGTTCAGGACTCAATGTATGATGAAAAATGCTCTCCAGCTGATCCAACCCATCTGGGGAGATTACTGCTCTTCCTCCACAGGACCTCCTCTTCGGCTGTTGTACCTCAAAAATCTCACTAAACATGAAGGTGTTGAGGGCACTCTTGTGCAAAGCTCTTGAAAGCCCCTGCACACATGCGCCAACTTGATGAATTGGGGCATACTTCCGAAAGCTTTCGGTGCTCAGGAAATACTCCAGCGCTTGAAAACGCCAGGGGTCGTACGACCAATAGGACCAGCGTCAATTCTTGCACTTCTTGACTAAAGGGCCAAAAGGACCATCTCGCACTTCTCCACACTCAGGTGCCGGCAGCGCCACGAAGGCTAGGAAGTGTCTACGGACATAGTGCCTTGGGAAATTGTGGAAACACATAGGGAACGGCAAAAGCGATTGAAGTCATCCAACAGCCCGGCTGCATAAAATCTCTGAGGTGCTCTCTGCACAAACAGCTTGCCAAGCATCCAAACCTTTCCAAACTGAAGCTGACCGAGGCCTAAAAGCCGGGGCCGCATTTCAGATGGGATGGGGCCCGAGTGTGCGTCCGAAATAGATGCAAAAAATGCTAACGTTGGAACTTTAGCCTGCGCGCGTGCATTTCGGAACGGGTCGGAAGCTTTTTACTCGAAGAAAAGACGTGGACTACAAGCGATGATGTTGAGAGCCACAAAATGGCTGGAAACACGTTATCAATCCGGGCCAATCCACCAAACGAATGCATGCCAAAACACGCAAATAGTCAAAGGAGTTCTATTGTAAGTGAGCTGTTTGGCTTAAATAAATTCAACTCAACTCGTTCTTCAACCCAGCATGGGCGTACTTTCGGGTGGATGCGCTAGTATCAGGGGCATTGTGACTAAAGTGATCATTTGTGGATACGAGCTTGCCGTGGCCATCACTACGATGGACATTACCACTGTCCAAGCATCGTGCACTGGAAGGCATGTGTCAACACACTGACCGGCCATGGAATAGCCGGTGGCAGTGGGCCAAGACCCTCAGAGACTAAGATCCCAAAGTTCGAGACAGCTCCCAAAGGCGCGGAACCCATCTCTCAGGCCCGAACTCTAGGACGCTGTATTTCCTGGCGTAGATGGAGTTCGACACTGCCCGTGCTGCAAACAAGGCCCTCTCGCAGGACCTTGGAAGTTGCCGAAGTTGCTGCATGTCATGATCCACATGAGGGAACCATGAAAGCAACTCGCAAAATTCATGTCTAAAGCGATCATGAATGGAAGTCTAACAAAGATGATCATGAATGGAAGTCATCGTGACCTTTTTTCCAGATGGGGTTTGGCTTTTACGTGGTAGGGGTAGTGAAAGCGATGGTGGAGGAAGCAGCAGCTGCTAATGTGTCGGTGATTCTGTGAGGTGCCAGCAAATTGTTGAAGGTGCGTGAAGTCTTGACATGCCAAGATGAGGTGGAGTGCGTTGTTTGCTGCCAGGGGTCCTGGAGCCCATAACTGGCCCAGCATGACAAAGCTGCCCCTACATGTGAGCTTAACAGCTTTCCCTACATGTGAGCTTAACAGCTTTCCAGTAGCAAACCTGCACACCCTCAAACAAACAATTCCTGAACAAGGATCTTTGGCGCAACCTCCAGCTAAGACTGCAGCACCACCCTGCGCTGCAAACTCGGGCTGGCAGCTGCGGTAGCGAGCCTGGGAGGCTATAACGGCGACTCACGAACAGCGCAATAGGACATGCTCAGCATGTTGTTAGCAGTCAGCAAAATCAGTTTCGTAGCTGTGAGAGGTGGCGAACACCAACTGCAGCAGCAGCAATAGCAGCAGCAGCAGCAGTAGCAGCAGCAGCAACAACAACAAATAATGAAAATAATCATAATAATTATGCAGGTGTCGTTGGTGCTGCCGCATCTCCCGCTGTGCTTGTGCATCACCGTGACTAAAAAAAACTGAATAGCAACAAGAAAGACCATCACGAGCATGACAACCATACTACAGAGACAATGACATTTTTGTACTTGAAGAGAAAAAAACATCATCACACAAGTCCACCACAAGACAGGGACAATCACGGTGAAAACAACCAGCGACGAGGACGAGGAGGAGGAGGAGGACGACGACGCCGCCGCCGCAGCAGCAGCAGCTGCCGCAAAAACAAGAGCAATAACAATAGATAAAGAGAAATGCTCTGAACAAACGATGAAATATGCCACAAAGTCAGGGTTCATCGTCAAGCGTTGTGCTCGAGAAAACTTATTCTGAGAAAGTGCTTCTTAACTTCCTTGTCATGATCGCCAAACCATTTGCGAGCGCAAGAGCGGTACTAGCGGCATGACAACAACTGCTGCTCGACCTGTTACACACTGTTGCTCCTGGATGGCTGAAGTTGATGTCTGAGTCTGATGAGGGTCTGGTGTCTTCATCTTCTGATTTCTGATACTCTTGCTGCCCTCGGTGGTGCTGGTGCCTCTCAGGTAGGTCGGGCTGCCGATCTCTTTGCGCTCGATGCTAGTGGCCAGCATTGTTTGTGTTTTTTTTCCAGAATTCCTTTCCCCGATCTCATTGAGTGCAGGGCTTGCAGATGAGACCCGATGGCGGCAAAAAAAGGAACTGCAGCCTCAGGCACAGGGTTGATCAGAAGATGCATCAATACCTTTCAACATACAAACATCAAGACATGGACCATAGCTTGTACCAAGTCCCAAGCACACACCGCCAACCCAAGCACACTGCCAATCGCCACACTTATGCTACCCTGATTCTCAATGAAAGCTGGCAATGGGAATGATCGTTAAAGCAAGCTGAGAGATCGAATGAGGCGCATCCTTGGAAATGCGTGCTGTATCCGCAGCTGTATACAACAAAGAGGACTGAACACCCCAGGTCTCCCCAAGGCTCCGGCCACTCGAACAGCTTCTGCAACATCGACTGCCGTCAACAGTGGTTGCTCTTGGCAACAAGATTAGAACCGTCCTCCAACCATAATGTTTGTCAAAAGAGCAATCTAGAAAGGTGTCCAATGTGTCCATGGCTGTCTTCAATGGTTCTGCCAAGTTGGAGAGACGGACTCTTGGAAGTGTTTTCGATTTTTTGGGGCCCTTCAGGAACTAATTAAGATTTCAACTCAGTCATGGCTTGGCTGCTGATGCCAAGAACTACAAAAGCTAGTGCTGAAGAACAGGTTCTGCTGGAAACAACGAATAGCATGTGACACGACAGAGCGCGTCCTACAGCATAGCAAAGGAACCATCAGCCTTATGCCCCCTTCACGATATACCAGCTTCAAAATAAGTTCATGGTCACAACTTTCCTTACGAGAAGCAAACTTTAGCAGCACTGTACACAGCAGATCGCGGCCTCCAAACCTGCATGCGAAGGAAGCAGCGGGGTCGCGGTTGGAGCCTCCAGCTTCGGAACACGCATCTTGCTCTTCCGAGTAAAAACAACAGGGGTGCAGATGTAACCAGGAGACCACGCCGCTCTTTTCCACTTTACGCTCTGCAGAGACTCAGTGTAGAGGTAATCGGCACCGGATGTGCGATGATAGGCAAGACTGCGTTTCAATATCTCAACGTCTTGCAAACATTGCTCAACTGGCAGTCATGGCGTTGGCGGAGATCTGCTCTGTTCAACTGGACGGCGAGCTCTGGACGTGAATACTTTCCAAAGTTGCTTTTTCATTAAATTGGAACAGAACAAGTGCAGAAAAAAGTCCATCGTATGAAGGATACATCTTTCAGACAGTGCCAGCAGCCCGCACGTGGAACAAGACAATAAACGGAATCGTATATCGCCGCCATCGCTGGACACCTGCTTGGTCATATCGACAAGACAAAGCATGATTGCTGTGACGAAAGCCGATCTGTATCCACACCAGCTCAGGCCGCAGCACTGATTGATGGCTCCTCGTGCTGCCTCAGCTTTGGGTGTCTTGTTTACCTTAGGTTGAGGATACTGCCTGCGCATGCAGATGCGCATGTGCATCTACAAGAACGGGACTGCTATGCTGCTGTCATCCCCTGGGGCTTGCTTGGAATTCAAAATCTAGCAGCATTACAAGGGTTGGCAGTTTAGGTCCCCCGCATCATGCTAGAATACCATCGTGTGTCGCCAGTTGTTCAGCTGAAAAGGCAAACCCGTGTGGCAGGAGGCCCCCAGCTCACTATCAGCACCGCTGCTGAATCCAAATCTTTCAAGTCCCGCTCAGCCCTGTCGTGCCAACGGATCGCGAACTCCCGACTTGGACTGGGGTTGTCAGAGTGAGTTACACACACGCTCTCCACAAGGCCAAGGAATGAACTCCCACGTTGACTGAGTTGGGAGCCCGGGTGGGCAACTTCGCTCCTGGCGCAACCAGCATCAGCCGATGGGATGTTGCCAGAGGGTGCTTGCAGAGTACAATGTCAAAGAGATATGAAGCTGCGGGCTTTGGGACATTGAGCTTGGGGGCAAGGGAGCATTGAAAGGTCAAAGGTGCATGGCTTCGGATCTGTACGGTTGAGTTCTTGCAGTTATCCTGCTTGCCAGTTAGCGTTGCCTTTCTTCTTAGCGGTTGATGCTTGTTGCTTAGTGCGGCTACTACACTAGGATTGGAAAGCACACGGTCACAGTACGCCTACCATTTGCATTTCGATGACCTCCTGCAGGCCGTGTTTGCACTTGGCAAGGTCATCAAGCTCTGCGTGCCCACGTTTGCCAGGAAAGCAGAAGCTAAGACTTCGGGAATCTCAACTCAAAAGTAAAAGAAGGCGGACGCACTTTTTCGACCTTTTTGACCTGGCTCATTGCGGCAGATCCCTACCTCAAGTATGGCACGTGCACACCTGCCATGTCCACCATCCACATGTGCAGTGGCGGGCGCTAGGCAAGTCCTGCCAGCTGTCGGATCGTTTCTTGGTGCAGTTTGCTGTATAATACATGGGAGTCGAACTTCTCGTAGGTGTCAAATCTCCGCTTGCACAGCCAACAGACAAAGAAGCCTTGCTTCGACTTGTCGACCTTCTCGCTGGGCGGGCTTGCCGACTTAGCACTGACAACCTTCTTGTCCGATGAGCTTCGCGTTGCCTCGGTATGGTCGAAGGAGGCGCGCCTGGTGACAGGAGGAGCCTCGGGCTCCTTCTCTGAGCCTGGCAGGCCTGCCACGGGAGTAGTGATCGAGCCATCGTGCCGCAGTGCATCTTGTCCTGTCTGAGATCCCAGGTTTCGCGAGACTTTGGCATCTCTTGGGACGAATGTTGAGGGCTCTTCCATTCGGAAAGCATCACTGACCGACACAGGTCGTTTGGTTCCGCGCGAAGACATGGCTCTTCTACCAAATCATCCTATCCTAGCACACAGAGATCCACCATCAACACATAGCATCTACTCTACTCTTTGCCCTGCAGCCGAGAGCAGCAAGCGCGAGCGGTTCATCCGGCTTGGCACGAAGTGCCTCTGCCGCGTGCTAGCTCTTACAAAGAAAGGACAGCAGTTTCACATACAGAGCATGGAACGCCACACACAAACCAGACTCTCCTCTAAACCATGAATGCAGGGCGCTCCAAAACGATATAATATGATAGAGTGGAGGACCCCGTTTCTCCAGGCACTCGCAGTACAGGGGACCAATCGCGCCAGTACCGTACACAAGACGCGCTCCATGTAGACTTATAAGATTTATAAGTTGATTTGGTGGCGAGTCGGAGTGTAATTAAAACGTTTGGATTCCCTCACCAGCCAAAGCTTTCAAGTCGACAAGCTGTCGTCACTGGCAAGTCGGCAAGTTATCACAGCCCAGCACCAAGCACCGCATCAAAACTTCGGGCTCCTGTCAGAGCTTATAATTAAAGTTGCTCTGACCCTCATGCAGCCGCAGCTGTCAGGGCAAAAATCATCATCATGGGAGACCCACTACGCTGTCCAGCTCACTGTGCATGAGTCCGCATGCCGTTTTCTTGTCTGCGTTGCCCTCAGTGCGAATGACTAATTTTGCTTAGCTTTCACAAGACGCAGCAGATCTTGCAAGCCCTCAAGGCAAGAAGGATCATCAACGGATTCGGGCAGACTTTTACGTGCGGGCTTGTTCGTGATGTTGCATACAGCGGCACGTACAGGTCTTCACAACTCAGGCCTCAGAGTATATTAAAGTTGTTCAAGCCTTCACCAGCCGGGGCTGTCAAGCTCAAGATTCGTCTTCACCGGTGCAATCAAGCCCTCCAGCAAGAATTGGTCGCAACTTTGCAACTACA